TAGATCTTGAATAAATTATAATAACTTTGAAAAAATTCTAAACAAATTCTAACAAATCTTAAATAAAATCTAATGAAATCCTAAATCAACTCTGATAAATTATAGTATAAGTCTAAAGTCACCTTCAAAAACCTAATAAAATCCATAAAAAATCCTAAAAACTCTATTAAAATCCTAATTAAAATCTAATCAATCCTAACTAATCCAAATAAATTTCTATGATATTCTTAAATCTTTAATAATTATTGATTGAAATATCAATCTTAAATAAAAAATTTCGTGTATTATAATTTAATAATTATATTTTTTTTCTTTCATCTTATAGTTTTGTTATAATACAAAAATAATATATATCCATTCAACACTATCTTTGTAAATCTTAGATATATATTGTGGATTGTCTTTCATATAATAGCAAATTTTTTATTTTGCTAGAATATTGTTATAAAACCTTATGTAGAAAAACATTTGTAAGTTGCAAACTATCAATACAGGCACTATAAGCTATTGTCAACTTCTTGTGCAAATTATACTTAGAAGAAACGAATAATGGTTCATAGTTGTATCTAAGATTGGTGACTTTAAAGCATAATCAATCATCTCCCTTCATTTGGATAACAATCTTGAATAGATGATTGTTTTTTTGAGTTGACCTCTCTTGCTTTTATAAAAATTAAAAACATGTGCTTTTGTAGCCACAATTGTGACTGTAGTAGTGCCACATGCAACAATTTTTTTTTTTTTTTTTTTTTTTGAGCATTTAGACACAATAGAATTGTTACAATATATTACACGGGTCTAAACATCTTTAAGTAACTACTTTTATAAGTTGTATATTTTTTTTGAGTTTGGTGTAAAAAAATTCATTATAAAAGAAGAAAAAGAAAAAAAAAATGGAAAAAGAGTAAGAGAGAGAAGAAGAAAAAAGTGAAGAAAAAAACAAAATAGATAGCAAAGAAGACAAAGAAGAAGAGAATAAAGTAGAGAGACACAAGTGGTGAATTGTGAGAGATGAGTTGCAAGTAGTGAAACAAGTAATATGGAGAGAACAAGAGAAACACAAGCAATGATTTATAATACAAATAGTGAGTTGCAATAAGAGCCATGTCTAGTCAATTCTTGATTAGTTTAGCAAATAAACCAATTAAAGTAATTTATTTTCTTGGATGTGCATATAACAATTTAAGTTGTGTGTGTAGTAATTTGAGGTGTATGTGCCTAAGATATATATAAGTATAAAAAAAATTATATTAAAGTTTTTTTTAGAGAGATTATAATCATCATTGGTTTCTCTTTTTTTTCTTATTTTTTTAGTATTTTTAGCTTATTTTTTGATATATTATTTATATTTTAAATTATATTGAGCATAAATAGTATATTTTTTTATAGAAATTTAATATGTTATTGTAAGCTCTTTTTAGATTAAAATTCACACACACATATATATATATATATATATATGTATCGATCAAATTTAAGTAATAACATGATTAAATATTTTATTAGTTATTACTTTGATGATAGTTTTAAACTTAAATTAGTTATGATTGAGATAGATGAATAGAAAATTTAAAGAATTTAGTCTTTTGTCAAATGTAGAGAGATTTTTTGAATTAATTGTTGATTGACATGATTAACAAGGGTGATTTAGAGAAATTGTTTGAAAAAAGAGACTTGAATTTCTAAGATTTTGACAAAAAAAATTTTAAAAAAATAAAAAATTGAGACATCCAACCTTCATAAGAATTGAATGTTAAAGTTCTATTCAAACTTATAATAAACATATATAATTTTTGGAATTTGCAATAAGTCTCTTTTATTATTTAATCTAAATTAGGTCCTTGTATTCTTTTTTTTAAAGCAAAGTTATATGCAATCTAATTCAAATTAGTAGTTAGTGTAGAATTTCTCTTAATATAACTTCCAACTACAACTTTTTCAACTTTGACTTAATTTTAATTTTAGACATGGTATTTTAAAATCAATACTTAATAAAAAAATATAGCTATTTACTAATAATTTAAGGTACTCAACAAGTTGTGTTTAAATAAAGCTAAGTTTAGAAGAATGTTTTTGACCTACAAGATTTTAGAGCTATTTATGTCTAAAATATCATGATTCGAATCTTAAATCTACTTAATGATAAGTCTTATTTATTTGTTTATTTTTTATCTAAATAATATGTATTATTAATCCAAAAAGTTTTTTTTTTTTTTTAATTGACTATCCAATCAACATAATATTTAAGGTTGATATCATCACATCTTATTATTAAATAAATTAGAGTCTAGGTAATTTGGATTTGATTACAAAAACAAACTTGTAACATAATTATGGTCATAAAAAACTTAAAGAGTTTGTTTCTTATTTTGATCAATATTTCAAAATAATAATTTAAGATAACATAGAGAAGCTAATTTTTATAGTAAAACCTTTATATTCTATGTTTTGTTATCAATAGATAGATGAGAATAAAAAAATGAGAACCCATGTGGGAAGGTGTAAAGTTTGCAAAACATATAATCAAACTTCAAAGTATTTTTTCCAAAATTACTGTTGTTTCTACTCATGAAGTTGTCTTAAAGTTAGTCATATCTGAATAAGTATTAAATATTTCACTATATATATATATATATATGAATTCTTCTTATTAAAATTTAAAAATATAAAATATTATTTCTTAATTTTTTCATTCTACATTAACTAATAAAATTAAAAATCTTGGTAAGTTTGAAGCTTCAACCAATATGTCCACTTATCCATAAAGGAAGTTCTTGAGGCCTTCTGTTTTAAATTTTACAAAATTTCTTTTTGAATAATACAAAATATTTTAAATTCTTGTAATTTTTTTTTTATTAATTTAGCAAGAGAAATGCCTTAAAATTAAGTTTAAACACTAAAATTATGATTTTTTGGTTTTCGATCAATAAAGTATTAATTTGAAGTCTATTTTTATGAAAATAGTGAAATATGATTTTTGATTTATGTGCATCTTAAAAATGTTATGATTTTATTAGTAAATAAGTGTTTTATTTGGATTTTTTTATATGAACCCAATATTATTTTTGTTTTATATTTTTATTTTATTTTTTTAATCAAAATATTGGCATTTGAAATTCACAAATTGAAATATAGTAACCAATGGCAAGTTTTGTTTTCTTCATTCTGTTTCTGGGATTATCCATATTTTGCAATTACTCAACACTTATTCCTTGGTAACTTTTCTCTGCGGTCTAGTAATCTTAATAATGTCCTTCACTGAATTATATATTTTTTCTTTTGCCTTTTAACCAAATACTAATAATAATAATCATTGATTGCTACTATTACTTTTGCAATTTAAACTAGATTTACTATATATGTTTCATTTAATTTTTCCATGATTATATGATTTCTTTCATAAGCACTATCATTTTCATCAAGCCTGTGTAAATACTTATACACATAGTCTCAAATAACAAATTAAAGATTGAATAAATATTTGATGACAAACTTTGATTTTCTTAAATAACCCTTTAGTATCAAGAAAAGCTTTATTTTAAAAGATTGAAATGTTGTTTAATTTTTAACAATATCAATTCGTACAACCTCATAGCATTAATCTAATTATTAAGTATGTGTATACACACACACACACACACACACACATATATATATATATATATATATATACACACACACACACACACACACATATATATATATATATATATATATACACACACACATTAATAATAATAAATGGAGATTCTTACAAATAATTGGGTGGCATAAATTCACGTCACATGTCTTCACAGTGTGTTAAAATATTTCAATGGAAACATTCTAGGGGTTGACATTTATGCTTATATGGTAAAATGATAGAAATGAATTAAAGAAATGAATTAAAAATTGTTAAAAGATGTTTGAGATTACAATTTTTTTCTTTTCAAGAAAAACGTCATGCCTTTAGAAGTTGGTGTTTGCTTTAGTAGACAAACCAAATATTAATGGTTATGAGCAATTGATGAAACATTTTCTTTCACATTATGATTTATATTTGGAAATTTCTCATTTTTAATAGTTTTATTTTAAGAAAAATTATTTTCTTTTTTCTTAGTGACATAATAATTTTTTTAATGATATATTTTTTAAGTTTAAAGTTTCAAAAGAAATCAATGCATTTAAAATCTTATTTTCACTTCATTTGACATCAAAGTTGTGCTCAATTTTGATGAAGTAACTAGAATTGGAAGTTCCATACATATATTTGACTTGAAATAAAGTATTATTTTATATATTCTTCAACAAGGTAAAATAACTAAAGTGATAAATTTCCATGTAAAAATTGAAGCAAATCAATCTTTGACCAAGTATAAAATCCTTAAAAATCTACAATTTTGTAATACTTCCACCTAAACTTTAACCTCGAACTTGTTGAACTAATTATTTGGCTTTGAGTTATTTTTAATTTTACTATTAAAATAATTTATTTTCTTATTTCCACTTCTATGTTTTGCTCCATAGATGCTACAAGCTTAAACACTTTCACAGAAGACTTACTCACCTTAGCATATTTTGGTTTTCATAACTATTACCATCATTATTATATGGGTTGGTGTACATGTCTACTATTTTTGCATCACATTTCATAAATATATTACAAGAGCAATAGGATTTGTTTTTAGGTTTGGTATTTAAGTATGTGCATATTGTATATACATTAATAAATATATTATATAATAAGGAATAGTTAAATCAACCCATTTAGTTACTAAATTTACCCACCTATCATCATTGGCTGCGGATCCAACCATTTTGTCATTGATTTTTAAAAAGTATCTATTTATATGTATATAATATATATATGGAATTTAAGCCCAGTCTATACTCGTGAAGTGCACACATCAACAAGCTCGACGCCAACATGCCCCCAAACATTTAACCAAAGGGATTGTAACACATGGATTTTTCAAATAAAAAACGGTGACCAACACATGACACCCGAGAAAGTAAAAGGTCGTCAACGGTGACGAAAAAGTGAGACACAGCCTTTTGGGGGGGGGTCCTTCAAGGAAAAGACCGCGGCTCCCGTAAGGGAAGTGAGCGATGGCGGAAGGTGATGGTCCCGCTGCCTGCCTGCCGCAGTTGAATTTGGGGGCGGGCGAGGGGGATTCAAAGCTTGAATCAGCGCAAAGCAGCGCCGTCATCGTCGTCGCTCTGTTGACCCACGATGACGCAGCAGTCAACGAAATGCAGGGCCCGCGGAGACTCACTTTGCCCCGCCGTTCTCCGCCACGCAAAGCTCGAAGCCTCCTCTCGACTTTCATGCTATGACTGGAAACTACAACAACAATAACAACAAAAAAAACCTATGGCCACTTTTCCTGTAGGTGAATTTTGTGTGGGAATAGTCGCGAGGGTTGAGATTCACGAGAGAGACGGTGAGAGAGAGAGAGAGGGAGCCCACAATCATGGCCTTAGTGATTGAACGAGGCGAGAGGAGGCGAGGCAGCAGGATTCGATTCCTGTCCATCTGCTTTTGTGGTAAGGGTGATTCATTGTTAGGGGAGAATGTTGACTCGACGTCATTTGTTGAATTAACGGTGAAGAAATCTTACGAAACAGAGGATTCGTTTCTAACCCTAATCTTGATTGATTTATTTGATTTGGGCAATGAACTTGCAAGGGGAATCTCGCTTCTGACATAAAGCTTCCAATCAGTTCGATTGTCTTGGCTACCCCACACAAGATTGAAAAGAGTTCCCGTAACTGCTTTTCGTTTGATTCGAACGCGCCCATGGATTATGCAAGCTCCACCACCCCCGTAACTGGAAAGCTCGCCCACAGTTGAAGCTTGAGGAGGACGAAGACTCGACCCTGGCGGACTCGTCAATATTTTTTTCCCCCTTTCTCCCGACGCGTGGACCTCTCCATGTTGAAACGGAGTGAAAGCGTGAGGCATCCAATTCTGACAATCACCTCAGTTGTGTTTTCGAATGGGGAGCGCGCTGAATGTGTACGTCATCGCGGTCTCTGACACAACAATGAAACTGCTGCTGCTGCTGCAGCGGCTCCCGCATTTACTGCCTCACACCTGGAGACCGGGGGAACCTGTACCATTGTGGGTCAACTCCCACGCACCCAGTCCGTTTTCACCCTTTGATTTATTCACCAAATCCGTTTGCCAGATCCGCACAATGTTGGAAACGGGTCGTGGTCTGCACGCGCCTCCGGCGACGTTCTCCAGTGGAAACCGGAACACAGTGGCGATGGAGGGAAATGCGTGGCAGTGCTCTGACGGGGGAATTGTGGGCAGCGTGCGAGGCAGATCTTGTGCGCGCTGAAGCGTCGCGACAGGGGCGTGCCAGAGCTGGAGCTTCAGCTCCAGCTCCAGCTCCAGCTCTGTCTGCACGAAAGCCGCGACGACGAAGACGACGGTGATAGAGAGTTCGTCTCCGGTCGCGGTACAACGCCTTCAATGCCCCAACTCAATAGAAAGTGTTGCCATTGAATGGCAAATTTGCTTAGTCTCTTTGAATTACAGATGGAATAAGAGGTTTGTTTAACGTTTTCATGGTCGTGAAACTATGTGATAGGGTGGTTTACGACATGTTTTGTGCGTGTGAGAAAGAAAGAAAGTTTGAACAGTGCACCATTAAAAAAACATAAACAAAAAAATATTATTACAAAATTTTGAAGTTTGTCATGTTGGGCTACCTCAAATTTTACCGAAATGAAATCATTTGGATTGACTTCCATTATATTGCCATGCAACTGCTAGGATTTGAACCGGCACCCTATTGAAAAAAGATGACTTAGCATATTCTCCGTTTTTTCAATCCCTTTTTCAATCATTGTTTTACAATTTCAATTCTTCACCTAATAATAATTTTATTTCAAGTCAGACGAAGAGCTCTCCTGATTTGATCATCTTACCTAGATGTAACTAAGTTTTAACCACTTCGATCACAATTCGCACCCTGTCAGCCTCAATCTACTGCTTACCTCAATTCCTTCAATTACTTGGGCTTCAATGAATGCAATGAAATAATCCAGCTCCTTATAATGCAATAAATGAAGTCATGTACGTGTGGGTATTTTAAAACTCACAACAAATATATACACACACATATATAAATATATATTTATTCATACACTAACATACATAAATGCACACAGTCAAATATATATATATATATATATATATATATATATTTATTCACACACACATATATAATTAGAAATTACGGACTTGCAGATGATTGCACTGAGGGTGTCTAGGATGTGCAATTCGACTCATGGATGTGGCGGCGGTTCAATGATTCACAGTTTGGTGACGAGTTCTGCTTTCTCACCCTGTGCAGCAATTCCCCTTTTTCGAAGCTGATTGTGCCGTGATTGATGAACAGCCGATATCAGCACTGGTGCAAAACCCACGCGTGCATCATGAAATTCAACACGAGCATAAGAGCATGACAAACTGCTGAGCTCACTCATTCGGCCAAAACCCCCCTAGAACCATCTTCATGTAGATGCAGTAAACGTGGCCGTTACTCACTCACCCCATCTTTCCACCTTTGCTGAAAAATCTAGAACGAGTGAATCTAAGAGCGTGACATGAGCACCGGAACTGGAAGCTCTTTCGCTAGAAACTATGGCCACAGGGCCGGCGACAGGAAACTTCTCGCGTTGCTGCGTGTTGCAGTTTGTTCCAGCTCTTCTCATCGACGTGTCGGTGTGCACAGGTTCGAGAATTGAGCTTCTTCCTTGGGTATGGTGTTGATGATGACTGTACAGTGAGTTTCACGGAGGATTTTTTTTTGGCTCTGTGCTTGGAGGTCGTTGAAGCTGTTGCGGTTCGGCATGCTGGAGCGGTCTCTGGGGTCTTGAATCGGAAGAGCGAAAACAGCCTCCTTCGTTGCGGTGGTGGCATCAACAGATGCTACGCCGATTGGGTTCTCATCTGTCTTGTTGCTCCATCAACTAGTTCATGTAGTCCACTAGGCTTTCAATCAATGGTGCCTGTGGTCAGAGATTACCTTGAGCTTGATATGTTGAGTGGTAGTCGAGGGATTAGAGTTGGGTGATTTCTTTTTCTCCTGATTTCCACCGTTGATTGGAATGCGGCACTCATTTGCAGTTCAATCTGTGGAAGTCCTCTTGCTCATGACCAAGCTCGTGAAAGCTGTTAAAAAAACTAACCCACCAAAACAAGACCTGTTCATCATCACCTTCAAATAATGCGAATACGAAATGGCCAGGTCATTTTGCAACTTAAACCAAGGACAAGAGCAGCCTCAAGTACCACATGTGGACACGCCTTGCCCACAGCTGAGGCTTCTTCGCCTCCAGTGCAAGGCTGACCTCGTCCCTGAAGTACTCATCTCATAAGGAGAATGTGAGTTTTGATCAAACCCTAATCGGACATGAATGTATCATCCACATGCACAAGCAATACAAACCATGGCCTCCATTGTTTCCATAAAACACCCAAGATAAGGTTAAAATTCGGAGGACATGGGAGTGTAGAATGCGATTAGTGAAGCGGGAAAGTCACAAACCACGTCATATTACTTAACGCTTAATAGATACAAATATCAGTGACAATGCAGGCTTCGTTATTGCCAAGAGTCTCCCAGTTCAGAGGGACCTGAAGGCTCGCCAGATTAAAAAAAGTGGGGAATCTGTTTGGAAGCTGTAAAACAATGACAAAGCTCACAGCAGTTACGCAAGTGTGCAAGAAAAACCCAAATTTGAAGTTTCTTGAGTGGCATTCTGATACTATATTTTACCAGAGCCCTGGTGCCTGAAACCTGGGTTGAGATTGTGCGCATGCAACATGTACAGTTTTACTACATAATGTTCCAGTAATTGACGCTGACTTCTAAAGACATCGCAGGGATTCCATGGTCCGAGAAAGAAGATAACGCTTTCAACACTAAATTGGTCGTAGGAATTACCAATTTAGGATTGGAATCTCTGCGACCATGCGCATGAGCGGTAGGGTGGTAGTCGAGCGGTTGGCTCACACGTTTGGCATGGAGTGTCCTATAAACGAAGTTCAAGGACAAAATAGGGCAACAAGACTTGAAACTACCAGGGGTAGTAATCAACACTACCGACGCAGTCTGACTTTGCACCAGGAGTGCAGGAATACACTTGGATGACTACATCTTTCAGCAGTTCATGTATATCTCCAATCACGCGCTATTATAAGCGCATATTGATATCATATGCTTTCTGGAATCCCAAGTCTGTTTTCATTACATGATAAAGCGCTTCTCATGTACTCGCAATTGGAATACCAACCATCCTAGTGGAAATCCACGCTGAACGCAGAGTTAGCACCTTCTGAAAGGAAAGACTGCAAATACCAGAAAAATGAAACTAATTGACCAATTACGAAAAGAACGTGCGGGCTAATCAGTGTTATTTCCGTAGATCACCACCACAAACATTTCACGCAGATTACACTTTCCATTTTTATTAATCAGAATAAAAAGGAGAATTCCTCCTGAATTATTTTGGCAGGTTGTAGAATAAATTATTTTTCTCTGAAAGCTCAATGCATAAAAGTGAGATTCTGCTTAGAGCCCAGAGAAATCAACATGGCATATTCTAATCGCAGTCCAAGGCTTATCTGTAAGTCGTGGTTCTATTAGAGTAGGTCGCCAAATACAGAACCACTCACGTGAGGTTATGGTTACAATCAGTACTTCTCACAATATACAAGCGGGGAAAGGAACCTGTGCTGTGAATGAAAATAAAGTGAGCATCGGTATTCAAAATGCGCTCACAAGTTCATAAGCAACGTTCTGAGATCTCAAGCCACTTCTACAGTCCAATCATATTCATCCTTGGATACACCCATTTGTAAGCTCGTTAGAGCTTCGTAAAGCTCCAGCGACACTTCTCCTACAGCACCATCATTGCATTGCACCCTGAAGGATAGGAAGAATAATCCAAATGACATGTATCAATATCAAATTAGCTTGATAACAGAATGATACGAAGGAAAACATAACGGCAAGAAACTTAAATGGGCAATTTTGACGTACCCCAACTAGCATAAAAGTATGTGCCGCAGTGTCAATTCTAAATACGAACATTGAGCACTACACGACCTTTTGAGTTTATGCAGTGAATAATGAACATACTCAACAATCACAAGATCAGACAGGAAAGGTATTACCTGCTTGTGCCATGTGTAATACTTCCCACAGGGTTTACAACCACAGCCGTTCCAGTGCAGAACACCTCATCAGCGGCTAGTATCTCATCCACAGGCACTGGTCGCTCATTGACCTGCAAAAATTGAAAATGATATTGAAAACTCATTGAAGGCTCTCGAGCGTCTTCCAACTCTTAACAACCTTCGTGCCTACCATCATATACAAAAGATGATAGTGCAATCCAGATAAAGTGACGTAGATGGTTTTATTTTATTTTATTTTATTTTTTATCAAATAACTGTCCATGTACGGGAGTTACATTATTGAGAGCAGTATCTAGCATGCATAATATATCCACCTATACAAGCGACGAGACCAATACCTAATAACCCCCGCTGCGTGCTAATTGGATAATGCTCTTTCTTGTGATTCTAGGAAGGGTTGTTCCAGCCAATTCTGGGGTTGAGATAATTTGTCCTGCAGAAATTACACAATTTATTGAAACGATTAATCTATCTCGACAAGGGACTAAATTGGTATCACAGCTTCGATTTGCATAATCAAAATAATCACCTCAACCAGACAGACCACCTAATACAAAAACATTCAGACTGATGAAAATTCTGCAAGATATCAGTGGGATATTTTGATGACCTCACAGACCTTAACCATAAAAATGTTGCACGAGGAAACCTCTTCTACATACTTGTCCTCAACAGTGTCTAGATACAGGACATCTGAGTAGCCTTCGTCTTTAGCTTGCAATTGAGTTCTGAGCACCTGTGTATAAAGGTTTATAAGTATGTATAACTAGTACAAACACTAATACTATTAGTACAATAAGTAAAGGATATTCTAGCTGAAGAAAAAAAATAAAAATATTGCGTAGATCAGTGGAACATGGATCAGCATGCAGTACATATACATCGAAATCGTGATCTATTATACGATGACATTTAACCAGGTGAGTTGTAAAGTCCAGTTCAACATACTGAGGCATAATTGGAAATGGTTATCACTGCCCCAGTCCAACCAGGAACAGCACGATGAATTCAAGTCTCCACTTTCAGATCAATTGGAGATAATCCTCTCTGTCCGACGCATGAGCAACGACCAAAAACATTGAGAGCTCAACGAATTAGCACATACGCAGTAAAAACACATTAACAACCAATCTGCTCATTTTAAACAGAGGTTGACGAGAATGTTGATACATGACGATCTTCGAGAAGATAGTCTTCACAGTTGTTGAAGGGTTAAGGAAAAAGCAGCATATTTCAGGTGATTGACCTTAAAGTAAGCTCCAACAGGAACATGCATCCACATAAACTTGGAATAGTTTTGTCCAACAAGATGCCACCAATATTGGTGTTGAAATCAATTTTTGTTTCAATGTTTCAAATGCAATTATACATTCCTTTGTCCAAAATGGACTCGTCCCATCGCTTAGTGGTTTCTTCAAGAGATTTGTCAAGGAAAGGCATATAACTGCAAATAGATAGATAAATCGTCGATAATAATTGACATGGCCGACAAATACTCAAATACCCGTAACAGTGTCTAGTTGCTTTAATTCTACTATAAGCTTTATTTTATCCAGATCTGTAGCAATGCGTGCCATCGAAACTATATGACCCAACAGTTTACCAGAAGGTACACCAAATTGGTATTTTTTTGAATTTAAAGAAATTCCATATTTGGCACATTGATTCAAATATTGACCTAGACATTCTAAATGCTTGACTCTCGAACTAAATGTACAGAAATCATCTAGAAATATTTCTATTGAAATTCGTAGATAATCTTGGAACGCTTGCATCATTATCATTTGAAATGTAGCTGGTGCATTACAAAGTCCAAACGACATAACCTTATAGGTAAAGGTCTCCCAATCTATGGTAAAAGTAGTTTTTAACTAGTCTTCTTTTACAATCTTAATTTGATTATAATCGGAGAATCCATCAAGAAGTGAATAACATTCATGTCCAGCAACGGCATCCAATATACTATCCGTGAATGGTAAAGGAAAATAATCCTTCTTGGTAGCTGCATTTAATTTTCAAAAATCTTGACAGATTTGAACTTTTCCATTCTTTTTCAGGTTCATAATAATTGATGAAACCTAGTCACTGAAATGAACTGGATAGATAAATCCAACGTCCAAGAGTTTATCCAGTTCTTCTTTTACCATAAGTGAGTATTTTGGATTAAGTCGATGTTGTCTTTGGCATAGTGGTGTAGCATTCTCCTCTAATATAATTCGATGCTCACAAACTTCAGCTCAAATTCCTTTCAAATTTACATACGACCATGCGAAAGTAATTTTATGCATTAAAAAATAATCCACCTAAATTTCTTTCTCTTTGTCTTTTACATTGTCATAAATTTGAATGATTTGGGGAGCCTTCCCTGTACCTAAATTAATTGGTTGACATCGTGGAATTTCAGGTGTCCCTGGACTGGTGTTCTACTCAATTTCAAAATCTTTCATAAAATCCAATACATTAGAACTTTCCAACTCTAGTTCTATAGTACTAACATGATAAACATCCCGTCTATTCATCCAATATGCAATCATATGATCAGAATCGTCAATAACATCTGGAGGAATTAAGTACTCTCCCGGTCCCCTACATTGGTAGTTCATTCTAGTGTGCTCAACAGCTTGCCTTGTATCTGCATAAATTGAGTCAAGTGCATCAATTTCTTCTTCTGTAGACTTATCTTCACAATTTGACGTGAATTCTGAACTGACAACTTGAGTTTCTCCATGATATTGGACAGGGTATATTTGAAGCACAATTTTATCATTACCTTTCTCAATTATCAATGTACCACGGCTCCAGTCATTTCAAGCTTTAGCTTGATACAACCACGGTCACCCCAATAAAATTGGGTATGACAATATAGAGCTTTGCAATCGGAAAACAATATAATCAATTTTATAGGTAATCCCCGTGATTACTATATCAATACTTTGTAAAATATTCATAGGTTTAATTCGACTGGAGTCAGCCATTCTTGAAACTATTATAGTAGGCAATAAGTGATCCAAACCCAACTCCTCTAATGTAGTGGCATTCATAAGATTTATACTAGATCCTCCATTTACTTGCACTCCCAATAGTAATACTCGATCAATTGAGACATCAATCGTAGGTGCACCCGGATCGAGATTCAAACTTACTTCTCAGATTTCTTTATTTCAAGATCTACGATAAATTAATGAGGAATTCAAGATAATTCGGCACTCAGATGCTACCGCCAATAGTTACTTCATAGAGATCATGGATTGTATGGTGCCCAAATCTTTTAGAATATCATATGGTTTTGTATTAGTGGTAATTTCCAATATCTATTTTTTCTTTCCACTCCTAGGCACCTACGTAGATAAATTATTTTTTTTTTAATTAGAAATTGATAAAGCTACTAGAACTGAATTTGACGGAGCCTATAAAATTGGTTCTTCAATGGGCAAGATTGTTCTCCTAATTGGACTGATATTGGTTCCTTAGAATTCATGCCTCTTAGAGGATCTTTCAACGAAAAGGATATTTTTTGAAACTGTGTAGAGAATAGAACAGCTCGACATGGAATCAAAGCCTCAGTAATTGGTATGTCATTAGGGTGCACAATCGATTCTGATCTTATACTGAGTAAGGGGCCCATGTCAGGACCTGGATTGGATGTCTCCGTAATTGGATCCAATTGGCCTGTCGCTTCAAGTTCACCCAAATGTTGAATTGGTCTTTTTTCCTTTTACTGACTTCTTGTAAGGACAGCTTGGACTACTTCTACTCGATGAACTGGTGAATCTTGAGGACCTTGATTTATTTCCTCTATTTTTTCTTGGCTTTGGATCTGCTTATCTCGATTATTGAAATTGAATGGAGCATTACATTACTGATAAGTATGTCCCGATTGCTTGCAATTCGATTGTACTGACACATAATTATCACTGGTTCTAGGATTGGGACATTCATTGGCATAATGACCAATCTGTCTGCAACAAAAACAACGAAGTGGTCTTCTTACACCCCCATCCGGCATATTGGGTGTCTCCACCGATATATACCTACTAGGCTTGTTCCATGTAAGCTTAAAAAATGATCATGGTTGTCCCATTTGTACGGAAGATACTTAATTTTATGACGCCAATGGAGCACATTGCTAATACCTCTACTGCTCTTTCCCGTAGTTCTGGGAGTTTGATGCAGACCCCTGATTAAAATTGGAACTTTAAAAATTATTGATTGTTCGATTTTGTCAATTAAATCGATTTCTATTCCATCCATACATATTTCTTGTTTGAACTTGATTGACTTCCCATTGAGTCGGTGGGATCATCGTCTGATTATTAAATTATTGTTGCCTTTGTAAATGCCAACAGTTTTGGCTAGGGTGCTTTCCTTCACAAAATGTACATTAAACACCCGTTTGTCTAGGTGATGGACATTCCATATCAAAATGACCTTGTCTCTTACAATTATTACACCATACATTAGGTCTCGTATTAGAAGGCTTATGTCGTTTTTCTTTAGCCAAATTCATGGCCAATTCTTCGATTTTCTTTGTTAGATTTAATAACAAGGCTTCATTTAGATCTTTAACAAACGCATTTGTGAACAACTCCAGTTGTTGATAGGTTGGCGATGTAAAATAAGGTATCATCGTTATTGGCGCTATTGCTTGGAGTGATGTAGCATTAATTGGTTGTTGCAACATAACATTCTTCACATTGGAAGCAGCCATTTGTGGATAATTACCAATCGACATATTTTTTGGTTGTATTTGTTAGCTTCCTGAACTTGGAATCATCGTCACCCTCATTGTTAATAATTGATCATAATGACATTCTTCCCATACCTTTGCTCGTGCCAACGATGCCTCTACCATAGCTGGTCGAGCCTCTTTTACAAACATTTTCAATTCTAGTGGATGCAAACCATTAATTAATATCAATAATATAAACGCATCTGGCATTTGATTATTTGACCATTTATGAAGTATATCCGTGATCCGGCCATAATAGGACTCTACAGATTCTCCCGCAAACATCCTGCTATTCATAAAAATTTCTTGAAGGTGATCTTCAAATCCAATTGGTTTAAAATGGATTAGGAAGGCATTCCTCAAGGCCTCACAATTGAATAATCTATCCACTAGTTGCCGA